AGCCCCTTTTTAGTCTCCTCCAACAGCTCTCACAGATAACACAAGGCATGTGTCTTCCTAATGGCCATTAATCAGCTAACTGTAGGCTCACTGTCCATCCTTATGTGGAATGCAAACGGACTAACGCAACATAGCACAGAATTGGACTTATATTTACACGAAAAACGCATTGACATCGCAATGATAACAGAAACACACTTTACACCACGAACTAAATTTCATATTTCTGGTTACAATACCTACAGAACAGACCATCCGGACAACACAGCTCATGGTGGTACAGCAATACTAATAAAGACATCATTATCACATAATCCCTTATACTTACCTACTACACCTGACATTCAAACCACAGGCTTAACACTACACACCAAACATCACACAATAACAATAGCTTCAGTATATTGTCCTCTGAGGTACGTATTAACACCTTCGATGTTTTGCAACTATTTTCGAAGCCTTGGGCGTTGCTTTATAGTAGGCGGTGGCTTTAACGCAAAGCACCAATTTTGGGGGTCACGGCTGTGCACACCAAGAGGAAGAAATCTGAGGGCTGCTATCCACGAGCTTTCATTAGACACTATATCACCTGATATACCGACATATTGGCCGACTTCACAACATAAATCTCCAGACCTACTAGACTTTTTTATAACCAAAGGACTGCGCACCATACCTTACACCATAAATACGAGCTCTGATCTTTGCTCTGACCATTCCCTTATACATTTGGTTATCCTTGATGAGCCCATCAATCTTCCACAAACACCTAAGCTCCTTAATGGTAAAATGGATTGGGATGCTTACAGGGAAATTCTGGATTCAGAACATTCAATCCCTGGCTCCATTAAAACAGCAGATGAACTAGAAGAGGCAGTGGACAAATTTACAAAAAGTGTCCAAAAAGCAGCTTGGTCTTCATCGCTACTAAGGTTATCAAGAGCAGAACACTTACCAAGATATCCTCAATATATAAGGGACTTGATCACGGCACAGAGGAGAGCACGTAAGGTATGGTAGACTAACAGACTTCCCTCAGATAGACGCACATTTAACAGACTAAATAACGAACTTAAACGACTAATACAAAAATTCAACAGAACGAATCATGATGCTTATTTGAGCAGCATATCAACTGACGATGGAAGTTTGTGGAAGCATACCAAAAATTTGTTAAAACATCGAGAGGTGTCAGTACCCCTGCGAAACGAAAACGGTTCATGGGCTTTGTCGGATAGAGAAAAATCTGAACTATTTGCAGACCATCTTTCATCAGTATTTACACCATTTACCGACTTCCCGAACACAGAACATGAAACCTTAGTATTTGATACTCTAGAAATACCATTACAGATGACACCTCCCCCTCTTTCTTTCACTCCTTCACAAGTCGCACAACAAATCAGACATCTCCCAAAAAGAAAAGCTCCAGGTTATGACTTAATAACTGCCGAGGGGCTCCAGCAAATGCCTAGGAAAGCTCTAGTGTTTCTTACGACAATATACAACTGTATTCTGAGGACAACTAACTTCCCATTACAATGGAAATACTCACATATGAAGATGATACACAAAAGGGACAACGAAATTTTCAATCCCTCATCCTACCGAACTATCAGTCTCCTTCCGATATGCTCCAAAGTTTTCGAAAAATTAATATACAAAAGACTGGTTGACATACTGACAGACCAACAAATAAAACCTGACCATCAATTCGGTTTTCGTACATTTCACTCAACTACACACCAATTACACAGAGTTACTGACTACATTGCTGGAGCGCTAGAGCAAAAACAATATGCTACCGGCGTATTTCTGGATGTTGCCCAGGCATTTGATAAAGTCTGGCACCAGGGACTTCTCTTCAAACTCAAAACTATACTGCCTAATACATATTATCTCATTCTCCAATCTTTCCTTTTCGACAGATTCTTCTCTGTCGGACAGGGTTTAGAAATTTCCTCAATTCGACCAGTATCAGCAGGGGTACGTCAAGGATCAATATTGGCTTCTTTACTCTACATTGTCTATACTCATGACATGCCTACCAACTCTGAAACATTGACTGCTACTTACGCTGACGATACAACAATTTTAACAAAACACCACATGACCCCAGACTTGCCTCATTAAATTTACAAAATCATTTACTAAATTTACAAAATTGGTATTCACTCTGGAAAATTAGATTAAATCATAACAAATCACAACACATAACATTTACGCTTCGACGAGAAACATGCCCACCAGTTTATATCAGCAACAATCCAATTCCTCAGACGGACAGTATACGCTACCTCGGACTAATATTTGACAGAAGGATGACCTGGGGCCCACACGTCAAAATAAAAAGAAAGAGTTTGAACAAGCGACTGAAAGTACTGTACTCACTGTTTTCTAAATCAAAATTGAAAATTAGACAAAAACTAAATACATACACTTACCTGCTCAAACCCATTTGGACATACGCCTCACAGATTTACGGTTCAGCAAAAAAGACTCACTTACAAAAACTACAATCCTTTCAATCTAAAATTTTAAGACTAATAACTGCAGCTCCCTGGTACGTCAACAATAAGACTTTACATACCGACCTAAGACAACCAACCATTGACCAGCACATACGTACTCTTTACTCCCGATTTCATCTAAAACTACACAGACATCACAATGGACTTATCAAAAACATGGCCACGGCTGAAATGCTCATCAGGAGGCGACTGAAAAGGAGCTGGATGAGAGATCTCCTTTCCTCATTTTAGGATGTAAATAGGCCAGGGAAGAGGTGCTGCTGGGCTCCATTCTTCGTCATGCCTATCATGTCATTTTCAATTTAAACAGCAAATCTGCTAATTGTCACTACCATGACAGGTGAAGATGTAAAGACAAAAAAAAAAAAAAAAAATTCTTAATGATATTTACAACTGTATTAAATAAATACATTTAGTAAATTTGGACATATGGACATAATGACATGAAAACATTTGTAGAGAAACTACCCATTGGTGAGCACTCTAATGATATGTCTGCATTAAGAGATAATGGAGCCATCTTCTTTTCAGATGACTTGAGGGTTATCACTAATTGAAGAGAAAGCAAGGCTAGAAACGAGATGGTTGGGATGATTCTGAAGTTTATTATGGAAGGATAGGTATCTGGATTGGTCTAGATCTGAAACATAAGAAACATTAAGGTCATTATGGATGGTTTTATTTGTAACAAAGTAGAGAGCATTGGAGTGGATATGAGAGGAATTGGATGGTTTAGTAGAGCCCTATATTATTAACATACATGCAGACCATTGAGTGGGACTTTATCATTTGGACTCAGGAGACCTCAAAATGTATTTTGCATTGAAAACTCAGATTCAAAAATTTTCAGGATCGTAATACTTTCCCTTACTACACATTACATATATAGATAAGGGAAAATAAAAAGCAAAGAGTTCTATTTCCTTATTCTCTAAATATTGATTGAAGTATACCAAAACATACTTACTTACTATAGTACATTATTTCCTTTCCCATACCATTTTGTGATACCTAAATAGGAGTAATAAGTTTTAAAGTGTTGATATACTAAAGTATGATAATTTTTTACCTATAATAAAAAACATTTTGTTCATAATAAATTCATTTGATGGTTGAATATAGTGTTAATAATTGACTCCTTTTTCTGTTGAAAATTGGGTATTGAATGTCAATAATTGGTGAAAAATTTGTCATCTATTGTGGGCACAAAAAATTGACAACTTTATAGTATTTTGGGGAATATATAAGTGGAATCTGTAGAACAGACTTGGACCAGTATGAAAAACTTTGAAACTTACGTATAGATTAATAAATAAAAAAGTTATTGACAAATTACTTAAATATTATCCTTAAAGTGTCAATAATTGGTAACTTTACCCTAAACGTCTGCAATATTTTTTGGGCGGGTATGTCACCCCCTAACTAGAATGAAAAGTCTGTGCCTATAACAATCAATTTTCAGGGATATTAACTATTGCAGTGCATTTCAAATAATATTAGACTGAAAACTATTTACTGTAGAAATAACTTTAAAAATTGATTAACCTAGTAAAAGTATCTGTACTGAAACTCATGTTTTATTTATGGTAGTTAAAATGGGTGTATCATAGTGCAACAACCATTTATTGATTAAGAAAAAAAAGAAAAAAAAAAAAAAGATGGATTCTACAAAACTATAAGTTGAGTGAGTGATAATAAAGCGAATGCTCATATCATCACCAAATAATTGTTGGTTGATGAACAGTTGCTTGTTTCTCAAAACCTTAATGGTTTTGTTGTGGTACAAGGTTGTGCATTCTTTGACTGTTCTCTGGTTATGAAATATACCAAATAATTGAATATAGTTTCAAAATTTAATGTTTTATCACCAGACACTAAATGTTTATGGAATTTCATATCATATAATTTAATTGTTTACTAACCAATAAAATATTCTTATAACAACTTAAATACACATAGGTAATTAATCTAATAAGTAAATAACTTACTAGAAGAGGTTTATTTAGTTTCCTATTCATGTATTTAACTTAAAATGACCAGAGTCAATTCTTTGTTTTATCCTCTTCCCAGCTTTTACTATCTCGGAAAATTTTCATTACTTTTTTTTTCTTCATTTGAGAGTGGTGGTTGAGGTAAAGATTTTTATCGAATTTACAGATCATAAAAAATTTACCTCTATTTTGAATATCCCACCTTTTTTTTTTTTCTTGAATGTAAAATAGACCATTACTCCACCAAACTCTTATGGCAGTGATATTATCAGAAAATATTATTCATTATTATGGCAAAATCACTCAATTTAACTGACACTTGAAGATAAAACATGTCAATATATTTAATAAAACAAGACAAATAAACAAACTGCTAAAGTCAAATGAAACTAAATGCAAAAGGCTTCTGTAACATACAATAGTCTGGAAAAGGTTTTATGCATGGACTGATAGGAGATAAAAAAATTAAAAACAACAGTTCTTTTCTAAATATCATTTTATTTAAACACCTTAATATAACTTCAATACCACTCTTCTCAATTGTCTCAAAAATATTTGTCTAACTATAAATTCAAATATTTGTAATACAGTTTAAAGCGAAAGATTAGAAATTTTAATGTAGCAAAACTTTTTGTATATAGCTATATATTGTACAACAATTCATTTCTTTATTTTGTTAAAAATTTTATATTAATATTTTAATTATTAATCTTTATATTTTATATTTATATTAATATTTAATATTATGCAGTCCTTTGTTTTTCAGTACCACTTAGGCATTGATTGGATCATCTTAGAAATTAATAGGGAAAGTATTTTCTCCTATTCAAACAATTTAGTTTTAAGATATTTTACTGATGGTATATTTTGATTTTCAAGTTGCAAATCAATGTAAGCCCATAAATGATCGATGATATTGAAATCTGGATTCTGAAGAGGAATTTAATGTTCATTTGGATACTTATATAGCAGCCTTTAAAGCCAGAATGAATTGAAAAATACCTCATAAATTTAATCAATGAGAAAAAAGGCTTGCATTCGCGAAATAACTTATGAAAAAATGCCTACAAGTTACTGGAATATTGTAGTTTATTCAGATGAGCACAAATTCAATATCAATAGTGTGGAGAAAAGTTGGAAAGGAATTTGAGCCAATAAATTTATGAGCAAAAATGAAGTAGTGGTTCTGTGAGGGTACGTATATCTGGTTCAGAATCAGGATTTTTGTTTTTTATCAATAGAATAATGCAGAAGTTTAAATTTAGATTAATTGAAAAGAAATTTAAGGATCGGTAAAGGCAAAAATGATACTAAAATAAACGTTAAAATTGTATCCTGATAGTAATCCTTAGTCTTCACACACAGGTGTTTTAGCCAAACACCAGCAATTAATGACATTCTCATCCAAAAAATAAAATGAATAATAGTATTAAACATAAAATATAATAAGTAAATGATAACAGGCCAATGAAAAAAAGTTGTTACTTTTTGAATAATTCCACGAATGGAAATTATGATCCCATCATTACTTTTTAAAGCCTCTTTTCAGGGAAGTAGGTTGCACACATAAATTAAAAGGGCTTCAAGATCTATTTATGTTTTTCACATCCCATTAATTCTTATTTTAGAAAAGATAATCTATATATAGAAACAAAAATATGTCATTCAGCTAATCCAGGGATAGATATCACATCCATCAGCAACTGGTTTGTGTGACTTCCTTTCTCTTTTTAAGTTTTATTATTCATTACACCTACTGTTTTGTTTATTATAAATGTTCACTGTTCAATGTTTTCCAATTGTTTGCTTTATTTGAAATTTCAATAATATTTGTAAGTATACTATCAGTTTACAATTTATAGATAGTATTGTGTTAATACAATTATTTTTATTTTTTTGTTTCAGTGTAGGTATATATTATGTATTCCTATTAAAAAAGGAGAAAAATGAGGTTGTCATACTATTCTACTAACTATTTGAGCCGCAATGGAATAAAAATGTAGTTGTTCAAGGCTAATCTGAACTAATACTACTTCTTACATGAAATTGGCATTTAGGGATACGGCCCTAACCACCATGTTGATGGATTGATAAAAATGATTCATTTTTTAAATTATACTATAATTGAAAGTTAAAATAAATAACAATTCTTAAAAAAGCCAAGTATTTTTTTTTATAAATATAAAAACAATACATTTAAATAATAATACTTCAATGTCACAGTTTCAACATTGGTTTCTATGATGTCAAATTACAGTTCAACTTAAATGCGATAATTTATTATTTATATTTACAATGCTTGTTTCCTTAATTTAACATCATTACTATAAATATATTAGTATAATAACTTAAACTAGTGTAATGATGAGATTTTGGTAATAATTGTGTCTTTAATTGGTCTATTAGTTATAAATGTGAGCCAATGACTCTTAAATGTATATATCACTTGGTTTTTATAAACACTGAACACCTGGTTTCTTTCACTCATTATTTACTTCTCAGATTAATCTGATATACTTATTTAAAATATATTATGAACAGTTGCAGAACATGTACTAAACATTGATAATATATTTTAAATCAATCCTAGCTTTTATTGTTCAAACTATAGTTCCTTGATTAATTATTTAGTTGACAGGAAGTTCAGTATATTGATATATCCTCTTTCCTTTGCAATATCTTTCAGTGTCTTCTTATCTTCGTCTAAGACTTTGACATCTGCACCTTTGTCAATAAGTGTTTTTGTTGCTTCCAAGTGTCCATAGTAAACTGCTTCATAAAGTGGTGTGATATTCTTATTATTCTTAATATTGACATCCAACCCTTTAGCTATTAAGGTGTTAATTACCTTGGTTTGTCCAGCTTTAGCAGCAGTATGTAAGGCTGTGGAACCATCCTTATCGACAGCATTAATGTCAGCCTTTCTGTCAATAAGTGCTGTAATTACTCCAACATGGCCATTCTGAGCTGCTCTATGTAGGGCAGTTTCAGAATCATTATTCCTGGCATTGATGTCAGCCCCTTTGTCTATTAAGAGGTTAATTATTGATGTATCTCCACGATTCGCTGCCAGATGGAGAGCAGTGTTTCCTTCATAAGCCTCAGCCTTCACATTAGCTCCCTTCTCAATGAGAGTTTTGACAGTGGTGTACTTTCCCTCTGAAGCAGCTAGAGTGAGGGGAGTATCCCCGCTGGTTGTGGTAGCATTAACATTGATTCCTTTTTCTATCAGAAACTTGACAATTTCTAAATGGCCATATTTGCTAGCACCATGTAATGGAGTCCAATTAATTTTATCAGTGACATTTACTTTCGCCCCTCTCTCAATGAGAGTTTTAATTATATCTAAATATCCTCCATCTGCAGCCTCATCCATAGGTGTTTCTCCATCATTATTTTCAACGTTGACATTAGCTCCACTTTTAATAAGAAGATTGATGACTGCTAAATGGCCATTATATGCTGCTGCATGAAGAGGTGTCCAGCCAGATTCATCTTTAGAATGAATATTACCTCCTCTCTCAATGAGAGCCTTAACTGCGGCATACTTTCCTTGACGTGAAGCCATGTCTAGTGGTGTTTTCCCATCATTCTTCCTGGAATCAATGTTGATTCCTCTGTCTATCAAAAGAGTTATGATTGCTACTTGGCCATTTCTAGCTGCACTATGCAATGGTGTCCAACCATTGACATCTTTAGCATTTATATCTGCTCCTCGATCAAGAAGAGTTTTTACTATAGTGTACTGTCCACCATCAGCTGCTTCGTCAAGTGGTGTTTCACCGTTATCATTTTGTACATTGACATTGGCTCCATTATCTAATAAGATGAGGACTATAGATAAATGACCCTTGTATGCAGCTGTATGAAGAGCAGTCCAACCTTCATTCATCTTTGCATTAATATCAGCTCCTCTCTTTAGAAGTTCTCTAACTATTTCATCTTTTCCATTATTAGCAGCTTGATATAAAGGTGTTTTGTTATCATTATTTTTCGAATTAATGTTGGCTCCTTTGTCCAATAAGAGACTGAGAACCTTGAGATTTCCGCCATAAGCTGCAGTGTGTAAAGCAGTGAATCCTTCATTAGTTGTGGCATTTACGTCAGCTCCTTTGTCAATTAATACCTTGGCTGCACTTATAGCATCTGATGCAGCCGCTTCGAATAAGGCAGTTTTGCCATCTGAACTCTTGATATTCACATAGCTTCCTTTTTGTAATAGAGCTTTAATGACAGAGGCATGGTTGCCATATGCTGCAGTATGTAATGCAGTGAATCCTCGATTATTTTTTGAATCTATATCAGCTCCTTTTTCTAATAGAAACTGAACAACACTTAATCTACCTGCTCTTGCAGCCTCATAAAGGGGAGCATCACTGTCTACGTCCTTGATGTTTATGTCTACTCCATGATCTAGTAAAAGTTTAACAATGTCCTTGTAACCTTTCCATGCAGCTACATGAATCTCTGTCCAACCGTCATCTGTAAATACATTCAGTTCGGCTCCACTTTCTAAAAAGAGTTTCGCTGCTGCAAGCTTTCCTCCCGAAACAGCCTCATGAAGTGGTGTTTTATCATCTTTATTCTTCACATTAATGTCATCTACTTTGTTCAGCAAGGGTGTGATGACTGTTATTTTGCCGTCTTGAGCTGCCAGATGTAAGGGAGTCCAACCATCTTTGTCTTTAACTGTAACATTAGCTTCTCTGTTAACAAGTAAGCTTACTACTAAATCGTTTCCACTTAGTACTCCTAAATGTAAAGGTGTCTCATTTGAAACAGACCTCTTATTTATATCCATACCTCTATCAAGTAGATAAGTGATTACATCCAAGTGACCATATCTTGATGCTGCATGTAATAATGTCCAATTCTTCTTATTCTTGACATTAATATCAGCACCCCTTTCTAATAAGAGGTCAATAATATTTTCTTTGCCGTATCGGGCAGCCAAAAATAAAGGTGTTTCATCATTGGAATCCTTGGCATCAATATTTACTTCATTATCAAGTAGAACATTGACAATGGGAGCATATCCTTTCTGGGCTGCTGCATGAAGTGGAGTACGCAGTTGTTTGTTGACAGCATTAATATTGGCTCCCCGTTCTATGAGCAATTTTAACAGTGGAAGGTGACCATTACTAACAGCCAAATATAAAGCTGTTTCATAATCTCCTCCTTCTATGTTTATGTTGACACCTTTGTCAAGAAGTTGCAGGACTACTTTGGTATTTCCATTCGTCGCCGCGGCATGGAGAGCAGTTAATCCATCCTTGTTCCTAGCATTAACATCTGCACCTCTTTCGAGGAGCAGTTCCAAAGCACTGGTTTGGTTCTTCTTCGCAGCTTCATGGAGAGGAGTATTGATATTAACATCTTTTACATTTATGTCTACTCCTCTGTCTAAAAGAAGTTTCATTATTTTAACATGGCCCTTTGAAGCTGCCAAGTGAAGTTCAGTCCTACCTTCTTTGTTATTGCTGTTTACATTTGCTTGCCTGTTGAGAAGGGTATTAACTACATCATCATTCCCTATATCAGTTGCTATGTACAGAGGTGTGTAATCATAGACATCCTTTACATTGACGTTGATTCCTCTATCTAATAATAGTTCTACCAAACGGGCGTTTCCTCCACTAGCAGCTGCATGTAGAACTGTTCTCTCATCTTTACCTGTAATTTCAATAGAAGCCCTTCTATCAAGAAGGAGTTTGGCAATTTTGTCATTTCCGTTCAAGGCAGCAAGGAACAAGGGTGTGTTTCCATTACTATCCTTGAGGTTGACTTTAGCCCCTCGCTTGAGTAGAACATTGACAACATCAGTTTGATTGATTCGAGCTGCAATATGCAGTGGAGTCGAACCATTATTATTGGGCAAATTGAAATCGGCTCCTTCTCTCAGTAGCAGGTCTATCATTTGTTGGTCTCCGTTTAGGACAGCTACATGCAAAGCTGTATTACCATCATCATCTTTGGCGTTGATAAAGTATTTTTCAACCAAGAGCAATCTGGTAAGCATGATGTTCCCAGACTGGGCGGCTCGGACTAGAGATGTTTTGTTGGCATCCTCCTTATAAGTAGTATTCACATCAGTACCAAGATTATGTATGATCTGTGGAATTTGATTTTCATTTTCAGTCCCTTCTATACCGAGACCTGAATCTAATATTATCTTTAATAGTTTTTCTTTTAATGATCCATAATAACTATTGCCACCTCTACTCAAAAGTGTTCTTACAATCTCTGACATTTGTAATAAATCTTTTTGGCTAAGTGGAGAATTTTTCTGGCTCTTTTCTACATCACATAAGACTGATGACCAAGAGAGAATCGTCAAAGGATCATTAAATTCTACTGGTATTTTTACATTATTTTGAGAAAGGTAATCAATAATACCAGTAATAGTCGCTTGCTCTGCAATGTTCAGAGGAGTCAAACCGTGTTTGTTCTTTTTCTCTATTATAGAACCCAATTGGACCAACAGTTTTACAATATCAACATTTCCATTTAAAACAGCTGCATGTAGAGCCACATCTCCGGAATGTGTTTCAAAATAAAGCCCAGCTCCTTTTTCTGCCAATTTTTTAACTGCTTCCAAATTGTTATTTTCTACCCCCTTAAAAAGAGGTGTTGTTCCGTTTGCATCAATAGTGTTCACTGGAGTGCCAGCGTCTAGGATAGCTTCTACAGCTTTTGTGGAATTAGTTTCTGCAGCAAAATGGAGAAGTGTTTCATTTTCGGCATTTGTCAAATGAATCAATGCTGAGTTTCCATTGATCTTACCAACATGTTTGCTACCAAGAAGAGCTCTCACAGCGTCCCAGTGTTGGTTATTCCATGCTATCTCCAAAGCTTTATTCATCTCAAAGTCACCATCTTGGGCCAGTATCCAATCGATGACTCCAGTATTGCCCTTTTCTGAAGATGTAAGTAGAACACCATTTTTATTCACCATCCGAAGAATTTCCTTTATAAAAGCATCTGGTATTTTTGAGAGACGATTATTGTTTGCTATTAAATCAACCACATTGTACATTGTCTTATCTGGAATTTTTAATATCGACCTCAACCAATTTCTTATAATCTGCTTTTCATTATGTAGCCTTTTCTTTAAAGCAAGGTCCAAAAGAAGGTTGGAAAATATTGGGTCATTGGAACTGAGTGAGTAAAGAATTTGTAGGAAAGTATATTCATCCTCATTGATGTTGGATAAGATCTCCGCTGGCTCTGCCTCGGTATTCTGAAGGATTGAGGCTGCTGCTGCTTGAATTTTTTTTCCAATAAAACAGTTGAGGCTTACAGAAAACTGATCATGTGACAGATATCCTCCTAACAGGTGATCACCTTCAGGTGTTTGGACAGATATCTCTGAGAATACCTGAAAATAAATAAGAAAATATGATATAATAGGTTTCAAGATTCCTCAGCTTAATAGAAAATTAACCAAACCCTAACAATGGATTATTTATTGGAAACTTTACAATAATCAAGTACAATTTAAAATTAACATTTGAACTAATTGGTTAAATTAAATTTTATTTCAATTATTTAAAAACTAATGTAATTAAAGCATACACAAATGAAATTAAAACCATAACAAGCATCAAATTAAAAATCTTTTTTATCAGTTACAGAAAGTTAAATCTTGGTTTTGGTTCCTTAAAAGTAGGTAAGTAGCAGTTGTTTTTTTCATTTTATCTAACCCATATGTAACACCCTCATCATGCCCTCTAATCATGTCCCCTCGTTATGGCTCTGATCATATGCCAGAAAGAAAACATATGTGTATAGATAAAATAAATTTAATAATCTTTAATATATTGGGTGTTCCTGTATATAGTATAGCAAAATATTGAAAAAGTTGATAGAAGACATCAAGATCTACAAAAAAGTTCCTATAAACCATTGCCCAATTTCAAGCTAGAAAATTTAAGATTTGTGTTTTTTTTTTTAAGCGAGTCGCGTTTTTTGTTGAATAGGAAGCGATAACTTAAAAAATATTTGATTTAATTTATTTAATAAGACAAAATTTACATCAAACGAAAATAGAGTTTGTCACCTATTCTATTCTATCAAGTAATCGTGTTTTCTGCAAAAATAATCATAATTAACAGTTGCAAAGCTTTTATTTCTTTTTTTTACGTGATATGGGATGTATTCTAATAAACATTACTACTTAAAAACACATTTTATTTATAAAAAATAAAAATAATGATTTTTCATTTCAGGTGTTTATGAAATAGTATTTTTCTCCTAGATTTCTGCCATAGAAATTGATGCTTATTTAGAAGTGACAAACTTGAAGTTGGCGATCCTAACATTACCATTTTAATCAGCAGGTTTCATTATTTTATAATTATTACGGACTTAAAGCTTAGTAAACGAGGAATTTTTTCAAAAAGTGGGGGAAATGTAGTACAGTTGAAGGGTGATAAAAAAAAAATCAAAAATAATATACGCCTTTTTTTAAAACAGAATTTAGCTGCGTTTGTCCGCTCAATAGTCCTCTTTAAATAGTTTCAACAATGACAAACTCTACTTTTGTTTAAACTAAATGTTGTCTAATTTACTATGGAGCAATGTTTAATTACTTAAACCAAATACTTGATAAATTATCGCTTCCTATTCAACAAAAAACATGAATCGCTTAAAAACAACACAAATCTTAAATTTCATATTTTTCTGCTGAAAAAATAGGCAATTGTTTATATAAACTTTTTTTTAAATCTTGATATCTATTACCAACCTTTTAAATATTTTCCTCCACTTACGGGACAGCCTGTATAAATACAAGGTTGACTGTATATTGATAGAGATTATGTTTTAAGATTATAAAATGTCTACCAAAAACGGTTCGAGGGTTTATAAAAATAAAATAGCTGAACTAAGTGGATTATGAAACATTTATCGTACAAACATTAGATCGCAAAAACCGTTTTTTAAAATCGATTTCAGTAATTCCTTTATATTATAAAATGAAAGGCAATGCAATCAAGTGCATTTTTCCTCGTAGTGAATACATTGAGAATAACAATTACAAAACAATTATATATTGTGAAAAAAGAAAACAAAACAAGGAAAGGGAAGATATTATTCCCATGATAAACCTTGGTTGTTTCTTCTTCTTGTAGCAGGACGTTGTATTTATAGCCTACCTGTGGAACCAGTTCTGTGAGAGAGAAATACTGTGGGGCATATTATTAGGAAGTACAAAACTTTTTGCCTCTGAGTCAGAAAGAAATCACAACTGAAAGAGTATGCAGAAGTTTCGCTAATTTAAGAGAATTGCTGCCGTAGTTATTTTCTGAAAATAGAAACAATAATATGGTTGACCGTGAATCAAGAACAAACCCGCAATTGAAAAAACGATTTTCGTTATGATTGCAGCTCATTATTATCTATTATGTCTTTCAGAACCTCTTTATAATAATTAATTTTTATTTATTTATTTTTATAGGAAAATCTGAGAGCTGATGATTTTCATAAGTCCTCAGGTTTAAACCATTGCCTTATTTTATTTAGTCAGCTACAAGAAAAATTCTTACCAGCTCTTAGTAGGAAACAATTATTATATTAATTTTATTCAAATGAATTATTTAATATAAATCTTACGTGGTCAAGAATTTTTGAGCTTGTTGTAATAAACTTGTCCTGACGTTTTAATGGTATTTTTATATAGATGTATTTGAATCATTGAATTGGCAAACAAGTTCTTTCAGTTTTTCTGTTTATTTTTATGCCACTATGATACACTTCTTATCTCATGAATCAATTCCTTAGATGGATTGTTTATCCTGTAATCCAATAGCTAACTATAACTATTAACGCTTGCTGAAACTAGCTTAGTATTGTGTTTGCTATTGCATTGTGAATATGGCAGAAAATATCATTCATTATCCGCATATTTTGTTATGTTATTTTAAAAAAGGTAAGCGTGCTGCAGAAGCTCATGGTAAAATCTGCATTGTTTATTTGGATGATGCCTTAACGCATCTGTCAAAATTAGTTTGCCGAATTTCATTCAGAAAATGTTGACATCAATGATGCTCAACGGTCTCGTCGCCCACATGAAATTGAAACGAGCAATGTTAAGGCCATTGTTGATCAAAATCCCACCCAATTAGTGCTGCAGAGAGATTGCTATGGCCCTAAATCTTTTTGCACACAAGCGTAGAAAACCATTTGCACAAGATCGGCTATATTTCCAGGCTTAATGTTTGGGTGCCTCACATAATTTTGGTTTATTATTTTCAATGATGAAACATTGTGATCGACCAAAAAATTCAAAAACATAACCCCCTCTCAAAATTTGAGGTTTCATATTTCAAGATGCGTAGAATTGGAAAAACGAATAAAAATTATTTTGTCCGTCCGCCGTCCGCCGTCCGCACATGTTCGCATAGTTTTTTAAAAGTTTATGAAATTTAAAAAAACAAAAAAAAAAATCGTTAAAATCGAACAATTAGAAGCAAAGATATGGTCTCTGGTTTTTTTTTTTTATGTGTTCTACTAAAATGTTATATCCTTGGTTTGGTTTTTAAATTTTAAATGTGTTACTGAAATAATGCTATTTTTTGTTAGCATATTACTAATGATTAAAGAAAAATAGTTTAGTCCAATAATTGGAATCACCTTTTGTTTTTTTTTTCTTTGTAACTCGGTAGGTAATTACTTTACTTTAGATGTATAATTGTTTGGAGATAATAAACCATTGTGAAATCATTTGCAGCGTTTTTTTTTAATCACAAAAAAAAAATGTTATAACTTCAAAATTACTTTAGCTATCAAAAAGAAATTTAGCAGAAATTTAGTGTCATATATACTACACAAAGTGACATCAACAGGACCTTCGTAAAAAAACTACAAATTGGGATAAAAAATAAGTTTTGTTTATTTATTTCTTACGTATACATAAAATAGAAAAAACATTCATACTGCTTTGAAGAACAATAATTCAGCTTTCCAACGGATATAGTAACATCGGGATAATCCTGAGCAGTTATGAATGATCGGAAGGGTGTTGTGTTCTACCAAGACAATGCTAGGCTCCATACTTCATTGGTCACTCGCAATAAATTATTGAGCCTTGGATGGGACTTTTAGCCCCACCCTCCCTATTCATCTGACCTAGCTCCAAGTGACTACCATTTATTTCGGTCACTGCAAAACTCCATGAACGGAAAGAAATTTCAAAAGAAAGAGGACTTCAAAAAGTACTTGGATCAGTTTTTTAACAATAAATTCCAGTCTATGAACATGAAATTATGTAGTTAGTGGAAAGATAGGAAAAAGTCATATTAAATAATGGTCAATATATTGAAGATTAAAATAAATTTTATGTCTATATAACATTGAATATCATTTCACCATGAAAAACCGATAGAACTTATTTGCCTACTCAATATTTACCTAATTTAGGATTTGTCATTTGCAGGCTTAGTAAGTTATCAATAATAACTATATTTCAAAATTTCTCTTCTCTCATTATATTAAGTGATGAGTAATTAGTTAGTATAAAATATGAATTTTAATTTATAATAATGATTTTACTGAAAATATTTTATTTTTAATGATTTCTTTGGTTAATTGTAATTTTCATTAACGAAACTTTTAATTTTATCACAATAACGGTTTTTTTATTTTCTTGAGCATTTCACTATAATTTTCAACTTCATTGTAATAAAAATTAATATATTTCTACTGATTAATTCAAATATTTCTTTGTTTTGGTTTTTGATCTTATATCAACTGAATTAATCAAGATTGTTGTCTATATATCTTAGCAAATTTAGCGAGTTTTATTTATTTTGCTGACAAGGAAAGTAGTGTTACGTTTAATATATAATTGTTTGGGAATAAACCATTGTGCAATAATTTGCAGCGTTTTTTCTTTCCAAACGTATATCTCATAATTGAAAAGTAATTATGTTTTTCATTCATTTTGAAAGTAATAATTATACATAGTTTGAGAAATTCAAAAAACGTCTTACTATGTCTTTACCTATGGCAGAGGATGGTGACGGCAAAAAAAAAAAAAATAAAAAATGAATCTATGAGAGGGGTCCGCGGGCTACAAAAGCATCTAAAAATCTTGATCGATAACTCTCACATTTTGTTTTCGCCACAATTTCTCTGGTGTACTTCCTGACATCACTATCCAGAAAATCTTCTTGAGAGCTTATCTTTATATATAAACACATATTTCATGATCCACTTAGTTCAGCTATGGTAAACCTTTGAATTGTTTTTTGTAGACATTTTATGATCTTAAAACATAATCTTTATCAATATACACTCAACCTTGTATTCATACAGGGTGTCCTGTAAGTAGAGGAAAAAAAATTTCAAAAGTTGATAGAAGAGAAGACACTTAGATCTACAAAAAAGTTCATATGAACAATTGCCCAAATTCTAGCAGAAAAGTAGAAAATTTAAGATTTGTGTTTTTTAAGCGAGTCATGATTTTTGTTGAATAGGAAGCGATAACATAAAGAATGTTGGATTTAAGTAATTAAACATTGCTCAATAATAAACTAGACAAAATTTACTTCAAAGCAGAGGAGATTTTGTTATTTTTAAAACAATTTAAAGAGGCCTATTGGGCGGACAAACTCAGCTAAGTTTCGTTTAAAAAAAGTCATAAATTATTTATGATTTTTTTTTAAAAGTTAATATTATTTTCTTACCATTTTCATTGTTCTGTTAACTGATTATTACTCAATCGCTAGAGCTCTCCTACATGATCCTGAAACATTTTCTTTAGAATCTGGCAATGCCAGTATGTACCTCAGTAGACTGAAAATCTGTTTGATTGATAAAAGAAAATTTAAGTAACATATAATTGAAATGGATAACCCTCAGCCAGCATTAAAACCCTTATAGGAAATTGTCAATTGTTCTTCCTTAATTTTATTAATATTGGACACAGGTAATGTGTTAGGATTTCATTTTATTTTTCTAATATCACACAGTTTTATAAATTACTTTAAATTTGTGCATTATGGTCTTGTTGAATACTGTTTTTACTTTCTATTTGAATATCCAAATGGATTTTAATTGAATTTCGAGCTTCCTAAGTAATGCTATTCCTAGTTATTGTCGATACTAATCGGTAGAAGTACAGAGGTTTGTGATTATCATTGGTAGGAAAAAAAAAATTAAAATTGTTTTAACTTTCTTCTTAGAAATAATACAACTACAGATAAAGTGTCACAATTAAAACAAAATTTAAGTTAATCAACTTCTTTAATTTAGGATAATCAAACTGGAAAGTATTAATAATGATAAATCTCGAAGTTAAAAAACCAAAAACAGGCAATTTATAAACACAATAATCATAAATAATATTAGAAATATATAATGGAAAAAAAATTGCTTGAGGTAATATGTGTCTGTAAATGACATCGAAATCAAAAAGTTTGCTTAATCGATATACTGAAGAGACAAAAAAGTCGACAAAATAAAAAAAAGGCTCGTAATATAAACTCTAAAGGTTGTATTTGGTAATTATTTGTAATGAACGTAAGGTGAAGGGATAAACGGTCGACAAGTCTACCCTTTCTACTATTATTCTAGTCTACCCTATATAATAATATTATTAACCCACTGTACCCTTTCGCAATAGCGGCGCTGCCTGGTGCTATCTGTTGTAAACCTTATCTGAAACATTGTGGATAACCTGTGATCAACCAAGTTGGCTGAAAGATTAGTATAACCAGTAGTATCAAAACGAAAAATAATAGCTTTTCAACAGTTAATTGTCACTTTTGCAGAAAGTACGGGTTCTTTAAGAAAATCGCATAATTTATTTATACAACTTGGGGTGAATCTCAATTTTTTTCCTAATAAAGCTCAATTTAATTAATATTTACATAAAGATTATTAAACGAGTAAATATTTCTAAAATTGGAGTAAATCTAGTACAGTTAAGCATGTAAAAAAAAATCACAAATAATTTATGACTTTTTTTTAAACGGAATTTAGCTGAGTTTGTCCGCTCAATAGTCCTCTTTAAATGGTTTTAACAATGACAAACTCTACTTTGGTTTGAAATAAATTTTATCTAGTTTATTGTAGAGTAACAGTTAATTATTTGATTTGAATATTTTATTAGTTATCGCTTCCTATTAAAAAAAAAAAAATGTGACTCGCAGAAAAAATAACACAAATATTAAATTTCCTACCTTTCTGCTGGAAATTAGGCAATTATTTACATAAACTTTTTTGTAAATCTTGATATCTACCACTAACCTTTTAAATATTTCCCACTACTTACGGACTATCCTGTATGTTTAATTATATTTATAATTTATATAAATTTAGTTGCTTTTTTTTCCTTCGCATTATTTCTTCTTAATACTCCTGATGGTTGACCGACAATAATGTTGGTCTTAACGCTAATAAAAGATTGTGGAATTAAAGTCGTCCCCTTTTCCTCTAGAATATATTTAACTACATATTAGTAAATGAATGAGAAATGTTAGAAACTTACGTCACATGTGTAGATGGTGTGGAACAAGGCCGAAGATACTATCAGTGTTGAAAACATAAACATCTTAGCTGATCCAGACCACATCTTCGTCTTAGCTGCTTCTCTGAAACGTGAAGATTTTTTTAAAAAGAAAATAGTTAACATTTACCAATCCTCATTTCTAAGTATAATCAGACAGCACACATCTATATTATCTTTATGCAATGATTAAAATTTCATGTTTTATTATAAAAATTAAAAATTTTTATTTTTTATTTTTTAATGATATTTAGATCTGTATTAGAGAAATACATTTAGTAAATTTGAACGTATGGATATAATGACGTGAAAACATTTGTTGAAAAACTATCCAATGATTTGTCTACATTAGGAGATGACGGGGCCAACTTCTTTTCAGACGAATCGGGGGGTTATCAGGAATTGAAGAGGAAGCAAGGTTAGAAAAGAGATGGTAGGGATGATTCTGAAGTTTAGTTATCTGAAGGATTGGTATCTGGATTGGGCAGATCTGAAACATAAGAAATGATTAAGGTCATTATGGATGGTTTTATTTGTAACAAAGTAGGAAGCATTGAGGATTTTACGAAGGATTTTGGATTGTAAGGATTGGATACAAGAGGAATATGATAATTTAATGGAGCCCATAGCTCAACTCCTTAAGTTCAAATAGGCCTTAATATAGTATGTAAATGAGTCTTCTGTAATTAAGTGGAAGTTTAGAGCGTCTGCTTAGTAAGTGCTGAAGTGATCGGAAACGTCGAGTGGTTTCTGGTCATTTCAGTCTGGTATGAGGAAAAATTAAAATATCTGCAGAAATTATAACACACATTAATGTGTATGATAATTGTTAAAAAACTACAGGAGCGATGGGTTTTGAGAAAAGAGTCGTAAGAATTTTAATAGAGCAGATTAAAAGATGAATTTTGTGGTTTCAAAACTATGAGAAAGCAGTATAGTTCGGGAGCCCATGAGAAAAAATCGACATTAATTGATGAAACTTTAAAGGGATATTTTCAATATTTATATTAAAAATATGAGAGTCTGTCAGTTGGATCTTGCTACCTGTGAAAAAATCGGCTGATTTAAAGAATATTACACCAGTAACAGAAAAATTAATATATATGAATGTGTATAAATGGATTCAAAGATGTAAAAAACAGCATTAATAAAGCGGGACACCAAGGGAAAAGATTTTACAGCCAAAAACGCCAGATTGTTTTATTTTTTTATCTAGTTTATAGTTTTATCTTTTTTTATTTTTCCGCTTAAACAGTGCATCGAAGCAAAAAACGCACTCTTTAAGAAATTAAGGAACGTTAAATCGTGCGTCGGAAGAGTACCCAAACTTAAAAATTTGGCTGAGTTGTATAGTCGATAATCGCGATCAACCAACGATGATTTTTACTAAATTCGTCAAAAACCGGTACAAATGACTATAAATGGCGCTGCAGCTTGGAAATGAGTTCTCTAAGAGAAAAAAATCATAGAATAAAACTGTAGAGCATCGAATTCTGTGTCCATTCAGTGCCAACAGTTTTAATTTAGGACACTTTATTCTCTCGAGATCGATAGAATTCGCTGGAATTTGGTAATTAGCATATCTGCACTTTTAAATATTTCAACAGTATGGCTGTCTATTCTACTGAGTTCTTCTTGTTAATAGTATAGTATATACAGTATGGGGCTCTTTTCCACCTCTCAGCAGAGAAGGATTTTGGAAAATGAGGTGTCAAAAAAAAAAACGCATTTCTTGAAAAATATCGAATCCCATTTTGAGAGATATAATTGATCTACACTAAAACCTTTAGTACTTAATGGACTCGGAATTTCATGCTCTACAACTTTTATCCTATGAGTTTTTTTCTTTTAGAGAACCCATTTCCAAGCTGCAGAGCCATTTATAGTAAATTGCTTCAGTTTTTGACGAGTTTGGCAAAAATCAGTTTTGGCTGACCATGGTTATCGACCATACCACTTAATCAAATTATTACGTTTAGATACTCATTCGACGCATAGTAAAATGTTCTTTAATTTCTTAAAGAGTATATTTTTCGCTGGCTTTTTTGGCTGTAAGAAGTATTCCTCTGGTGACCTCCGTTAGCATTTTTTTTTTTTAATGTCAGAAACCATATGTACAAGTTAAATGAATAAAAACGTTTCACTCATTTTTCACAATAAATTTCCCGTTTCTATCCTCAAGTTACTTATAACATATTCTTTGAATCGGCCGCCATTTATGTAGATAGCAAATTCCGACTGGTAGACTCCCATTTTTTTAATGTGAATGTTTTAAATATTTTTTTAAAAATGCCTTTAAACTTTTCATCAAAATATGTCGATTTTTTCTCACGGACCCTCATACGGTGCTAGGTTCGAGCAATTGCTCGAGCGGGCAAAGCCCTCCAATTTACCGTTTTCGTGGTGACGCTCGATACAGTTGCTTGCCACAGAAGCCCACCAATACGGAAAAAAAATCTGGTGAGCGCATCACAAAACTTTCACTTACTGCTATATTTTAAAATCAATTATTGTCTGGCGAACTTATTTTTTATTTATTAACAAGAAATTTTTGAAGCCCATTTTTAATGAAACCAAACCTTAAGCCACATATTTTTGAATTTCGGTCATATTTATTGATACAAAAACTCATTAAGACCGTCAAAATAACATCAACCATATTTATTATATCAATCATTATAACTGCATCAGCCCATTTTAATACTGCATAGAAAAAATTATAGTTCTCAATCTCAATCACTTTTCACACGTATTTAATTACTTATTGTTTACCCATTTAAAATTTACAAATATACAGTTACTTCTTTTGAATATCGATAGGTCAAACGTTGTCAGGCTGATTGTAAGTGTATAATGTGATTTTACAAATGTTAATTATTCGACGATGTTCACCTGATTATTTATATATAATATCTGATCTAAAATTATTAAACTATATTAAATGTATTTAAGTTTATAAACATTTGTTTTACAGAACCATGAAATATTTTTTATTTCACTTCTTCTTTAATACAAGTACAGTAAAATCATTTTTAAACGTCATTGCCTTGATTCGGTAGATTTAATACACTTCATTTTTTCTAATTTAAAAACGTTTTTAAAAGTTTTCATTTACTTAAAAAATTACATTTCATTTTCCTCGAAACATGTGGTTTCCGTTAATTTTTTTTTTTTTTTTTTTTGTCTTCAATTTTTCATCCGCGCCTTTCATGGTAGTGACAATCAGCAGATTGGTGGTCATGTAAAAAAAATGGCATGATAGGCATGACGAAGAATGGAACCCACCAGCACCTCTTCCCTGGTCTGTTTACATCCTAAAATCAGGAAAGGAGATCTCTCATCCAGCTCCTTTTCAGTCGCCTCCTGATGAGCATTTCAGCCGTGGCCATGTCATTGATAAGTCCATTGTGATGTCCGTATAGTTTAGAATGAAATCGGGAGTAGAGAGTACGTATGTGCTGGTCAATGGTTGGTTGTCTTAGGTGGTAGGTAAAGTCTTGTTGTTGACGTACCAGGGAGCGCCAGTTATTAGTCTTAAAATTTTTGATTGAAATGATTGTAGTTTTGTAAGTGAGTCTTTTTGCTGAACCGTAAATCTGTGAGGTGTATCTCCAAATGGGTTTGAGCAGGTAAGTGTATATATTTAGTTTTTGTCTAATTTTCAATTTTGATTTAGAAAACAGGGAGTATAATATTTTCAGTCTCTTGTTCAATGTCTTTCTTTTCATTTTGACGTGTGGGCCCCAGGTCATCCTTCTGTCGAATATTAGTCCGAGGTAGCGTATAGTGTCCGTCTGAGGAATTGGATTGTTGCTGATATAAACTGGTGGGCATGTTTCGTCGAAGCGTAAATGTTATGTGTTGTGATTTGTTGTGATTTAATCTAATTTTCCAAAGTGAATACCAATTTTGTAAATTTAGTAAGTGATTTTGTAAATTTAATGAGGCTAGTCTGGGGTCGTGGTGTTTTGTTAAAATTGTTGTATCGTCAGCGTAAGTAGCAGTCAATGTTTCGAGGTGGTAGGCATGTCATGCGTATAGACAATGTAGAGTAAAGGTGCCAATATTGATCCCTGAGGCACTCCTGCTGTTATTGGTCGAATTGAGGAAATTTCTAAACCCTGTCGGACAGAGAAGAATCTGTTGAAAAGGAAAGACTGAAGAATGAGATAGTATGTATTAGGCAAGATAGATTTGAGTTTAAAGAGAAGTCCCTGGTGCCAGACTTTATCAAATGCCTGGGCTACATCCAGAAATACGCCGGTAGCATATTGTTTTTGCTCTAGCGCTCCAGCAATGTAGTCAGTAACTCTGTGTAATTGGTGTGTAGTTGAATGAAATGGACGAAAACCGAATTGATGGTCAGGTATTATTTGTTGGTCTGTCAGTATGTCAACCAGTCTTTTGTATATTAATTTTTCGAAAACTTTGGAGCATATCGGAAGGAGACTGATAGTTCGGTAGGATGAGGGATTGAAAATGTCTTTGTCCCTTTTGTGTATCATCTTGATATGTGAATATTTCCATTGCAATGGGAAGTTAGTTGTCCTCAGAATACAGTTGTATATTGTAGTAATTAACACTATAGCTTTCCTAGGCATTTGCTGGAGCCCCTCAGCAGTTATTAAGTCATAACCTGGAGCTTTGCTTTTAGGGAGATGTCTGATTTGTTGTGCGACTTGTGAAGGAGTGAACGAAAGAGAGGGAGGTGTCATCTGTAATGGTATGTCTAGAGTATCAAATACTAAGATTTCATGTTCTGTGTTCGTGAAGTCAGTAAATGGTGTGAATACTGATGAGAGATGGTCTGCAAATAGTTCAGATTTTTCTCTATCCGACAAAGCCCATGAACCGTTTTCGTTTCGCAGGGGTACTGACACCACTCGATGTTTTAACAAATTTTTGGTATGCTTCCACAAACTTCCATCGTCAGTTGATAAACTGCTCAAATGAGCATCATAATTGTTCCATTGAATTTTTGTATTAGTCGAAATAATTTTAGTTTTCAGAAATTGTTATTTATATTTTTTTGTCACTCTCCATTACCTTCTACAACTTTGTGTGTTGGATATTGTATTTCCTAAA